GAGAGGCCACAGCCGTCTCTAGGAGCAGTGTATGGCTGTGAGCCCACAACAACAAAGCCCCCTTCTCCTCTCTGTCTGCGTCTCTCTCGGTGCCACTCTGTCCTGCAGTCCTGCAGCAGGTTCAGGTGCGCCGTCTCTCTCTCTATCTCTCTCCCTCTCTCTCTCTCTCTCTCTCTCACCCGCATGCGGAGGACCGGCGTTTAGTTTTACGGTAATTGTTGCCACCATGATAATCACACGCTGCCTCGCGGCTGTGGAGCCCTCTGGCGCGGGGCTCCAGGCTTCCAGGGAAACGCAACGATTTCGTTGCCCTGGAGTGGGCCGCCTGCTGGAGAACTTTCCAGGAGAAGGTCTAGGACAGGCGGCCCACGACTCCCATAAACCCCGCCTCCCGCTGGAAGATGACTGCGTGCGGTTTTGTGTTTCTTTCATTTTTTTGCGAGAGTTTTAATGGCACTTAAATGTGATGGCGTGGTCCCGGGAGTCCTGTACGACAACGAGGTGACTGAGCCCGTCTGCCGGAGACGACACGCAGCCTCTGGAGCCTCTGGAGGCTCTGGCGCAGCGGTCCTGGAGCGAGATAAAGAGTCTGGATAAGGGCGCGCTGAGCCGTGCGGTACTGCAAAAGCCGAGGCAAAAGCTGTGGAAACCGGACTGTATACCTCTGCTCGGCCACAACTCGTTTCCAGGCGACAGATTCCAGGCAGCCGCTGGAGCGACTCCAGAGCAGGCCGGACGGGCGACAGCAGCAGGGCGGGCGCACGCTCCGCGCTCGAGGACCATAAAAGAGGTCACGCGTATCAAAAATTAATCTACAAAGAATAAATATGAAAAAGTAATCTTTTACTCAAATCAGAGAATGAAAGATTATGCGACCGGAAAGAGGTCATGACGCATGGACGGGGTATGGCCAAGGGGTCTGCGGCGCACGAACGTCAACGGGCCTCTCCTGCCTGGGCGCATTATGCATGCATCTGCAGGTGCACAGCTGCGGTAATCACAGATTGCTTGCACGCCCCGCATCCGGCTGAGTGGAGCCGTGCCCCGCAAGGGCAGCGCCATACGCCACGCCCCGCCACGCCCCGCCACGCCCCGCCACGCCACGCCCCGCCACGCC